ACCATCATCTGTGGCATGTTGAAAAGTGAAACTGTGAGGATAGCATAAAATACATTGAAATTAATATACAAATAAATAATATAGAGGCTCCTGTACTGCATGCATTTTTCATTTTTGTATCTCATTCATTAAATTAAAATATAGGTTTTAGTGAAACTGTCAAAGAATTTCCTATCTTCTGCACCACAGTGCCGCAGAATCCAGGAATTTTGCTGCAGATTTTGATTCCAGCTTGCCACATTGTACGCTGATTGCTATTTTGCATGAAGCCACTTGTGGAAGGAGATAGTCATAGGAAATGGAACTCTATTAGTTAATATTTTTTTGTTAATATCTCTTGTGAATGTATTTTATATGCTTTTCAGTAATCTCTATTGTAGTCCTCAGTGGTACTTGGCAGATGTATCCTTCTGACAAAATCTATTAATGTGTTATCTTATGAAAAATTTATTCTGTTGAATGAATAAAAAGCTTTGCTTAGTAATCGAATATTGACAAACAATGAACTAAGTTATGATGTGCCATTAATATGCTCCTTAAGTCAGCTTTCTGCTTACACTCAAGAAGAGTATTAATAACCTAAATAAAACATGCCCTAGAGTGCCTTTATACAAAAGTGAAACCTTTCTTTAATGGATCACCTAGGGGACCATCAAAAAATCGATTGCCTAATTGTGCTTAACAAAAGACTGATCCAAAGTTTACTGCAAAATTGAAAACCTTGGAAATGCTCTAAAGCAGTGTCATCAAAAGCAGAGCTGCCCACTGGACATCTCGTTCCTCCAAGCAGGTTTCACTTCAATTACTCTTTCCCATTTAAGACACTACCAAATAACTTTTTGCCACTGAAACCCACGTTGGGCCCCTAAGATTCAGCTGTGAATCATTTGTCCACACTTAATGTGCAAAAGTGATTCACTTAGAGAGAGAGCAGTGGGTACAATATGGTCTCTTGGTTTTTTTTGTAAACTGCTTATACTTCTGCCAGGTTCCCACGCAAGAGCTGTGCTAGTGCTACCTTGACTCTCTGCCCTTTACAATAAGAACATAATGGCCATATTGGGTCAGACCAATGATGCATCTAGCCATGTACTCTGTCTCTGACTGTGGCCAGTAGTACCAGAACTTCAGGGGGAGTGTACAGAACAGGGCAATTTTGGAGAGCTCCACCCATCCTCCTCACCTGGCTTTGGCAGTCAGAGCTTTAGAGTTGCCCTAGGCATAGGGTTACATCCCTGATCATCTTGGCTAATAGCTGTTGATTGACTTATTCTCAGTGACCTTATCTAGTTCTTTTTTTAACCCAGTTATTATTTCGGCAACCAAACCTCCCTGGCAATGAGTTCCACAGGTTAGTTTGGTGTTTGTGAAAAAGGAGTTCCTCTTGTTTGTATTCAATCTGCTTCCTGTTAATTTCAGCAGGCGATCCCTGGGTTTTGTATTATGGAAAAGCATAAACATTTATCTATTCACTTTTTCCAAACCACTCATAATTTTATAGACCTCTATCCTTTCCCATCCCCCCCCCCCCAATCATCTCTTTTCTAAACTGAACAGCCCTAATCTTTTCAGCCTCTTCCTTGTACGGAAGCCATTCCATGCCCCTGATCATCTGTGTTGCCCTTCTCTATTCCTTGCCCAGTTATCGTTTTTGAGATGAGGTGACCAGAACGGGTCACAGTATTCAAAGAGTGGGCACGCACGCTATGGATTTATACAGTGGCAGTATGTTATTTTCTGCCTTATTTTCCATCCCTTTCCTAACACTGCCTAAGAATGTTCACCTTTTTGACCACTGCGGCCTGTTGAGCTGAAATGTTTGGAGAACTTTCCATGGCGATGCCAAGATCTCTCTGGAGCAGTGACGGTGAATTTACATGCCACGATGGGGGAGGGATAGCTCAGTGGTTTGAGCATTGGCCCGCACATGCCTATCTGGCACTATTTTTCCAGATGTGCATCACTTGGCAAGGCTCACTGCTGGATTTCAATGGGGTCCAGGGGCCTGCCCTTAGCAGTGAGGTAATAGTAGCCCCACCCACCCCTCCCCAGCCTTGCACCTTGCACCAGGCCCCGCTTCCACCAGTGTTCCCCCTCCTCCTGGCACCTCCCCCCTTCACAGCCCTTTGGCTAGGCCAGCAGCCCGCAGGGAACAGGTCGGCAGGGGGCGGAGCGTCCTCCCGACGTCACTCCGTGCCGCTCCAACCAGCCAGTGGGTGTTCCCGCCCCGAGAGTGGAATCGCTCTGGGGACGTCGCAGCCGGCGGCGGCCAATCAGGAGCGGCTGCATGCCGGCAGGGCACTTGGCCAATGGGGAGCGCTGTTACGCGGTTGCCAGCCGGCTGGCTCGGTCCGCTCTCTCTGCCGCGGGATCAGCCGTCCCTGCTCCAGCGGCAGCCGCGCGGCGCCCGCCTGGCCGGGAGGTGAGGCTGGGATCGCCGGGCCGGGCGCGCTGGTCAAGGGGGGGTCCCCGCGGCCCGGCTGCTCATCACCGGGCAGGCAGCTGTGCGGCTGCATCTGGGCCTTGCGCCGCCCTGGGGTGTCCCCCTGCAGTGCCCGGCCTCTCCTCCTCCGTACCTGCCCTGGGGCTGCAGCGGCCCGGGGTAGCGCAGCGCTGGTGTGGGGAGCCACGGACCTAGCGCCGCTCACCGTGGCTGCTGGGCGCGGGTCGCCTGCCTGAGCCGTGAAAGCCGCCTGGGCAGGGAAGCGCCCTGCACCGCGCTGGAGCTCCCCTCTAGCCCTGGGGCGGCGATCAGAGACCCCTGCAGCCGGAGTAGGCATGTGGGCCTTCTCGCAGAGGCGTTCTCCACGGCTCTGTCCCCAGCAGTGGGATGGCCGCCACCACTGCCCTTGGAGGCAGCTATGGAGCCAAGTACAGCGGAGTTAAGACTTTTCTAGCCTAAATATGCTTTTACTCCTCCATCCGCACCAGAGCGGATGTTTATAAGCCACTGTTTATAAGCCAGGGGAGCAGCCACCAAGAGAGAGAACAAGAGCAAAGGGGAAGGGCAAATGGGGGTGTAGCTGGTGCAAGAAAGATGGTGAAGGAGCCACGGAAGCCACAAGGCCAGGGAGAGTGAGGAGGGATATAAGTAGAGTTCATCAACAAGCACTGTTGAGATTTCCTTTAACACTTGTTTTCTTATTATTCTCTGTATGGTAGATGGAGACTCCCAGGAGCTGTGTTTGTACCAGGTCGGGTGGCGGTTTGGGAGTCGGTACCTGTGAGGAGGACAGTTTCCTGTATTTTGCTTATGGCAGTAACCTGCTTCGGGAGAGGATACTGCTAAAAAACCCATCTGCCACTTTCTATGCTGTAGCCAACTTGCAGGTCTGTATCTATGGGAGAGATGGAACCCTGTATTCTCCATTCTTCGCCCTTTCCTTTATATGTGCTAAAGAAATTTAGCCTTAATCTGTGTTTTAGTTGTAGTTTCAGGAATTTGGGGAGGAGGCATAGCTGCTACATTAGGGAAAATGTTTGTTACATTTCACTAACACTTTTATTTTTAAGCCTGTAGAATATTGAAGTATGCTTTGTGAAGCTCTAAGCTCATGTCTGAACATTACCTGAGTAGTGCTGCTGCTGCCTTCATCCCATTGCTTCATAGGCTACCTGAATTGAAAATACTCTTTTCAGGGACACTCCAGGCACCAAGCAGCATGTAACTGGAAAAGTTCTGAGTGCTTAGAGCCCCTCTGTATCCTTATATGCTTAACACTTATATAATACTGGCCACTGGAGGCTCTCAAAGCACTTGGCAAACATTACTGAATTAAGTCTTGCATGTATGAATGAGAGAAACATTATTATGCCCATGGTTAGAGATGAAGAAATGGAGGCATAAAGCCTTAAAGTGACTTACCCAAGGTCACCCAGGAAGCTCACGGCAGAGCCAGAATGTAAAACCTGGATCTCCTGACTTCATGTCCAGTGTTCTAACAAGATCATCCCTTACCCTTCATAATTCTGCTTTTTATTTATCAATTCTAAGGTGCTTGACGTTTTGAATGTAACCACATTGCCCCCAAAGTCAAGTTTTCCAGTCATCTTGGCTACTATCGTGAACTTCTCATCTCTTAAGTGCATCTAAAACTGGGTATCCAGTCAATATCAGACCCAGAGTCAGTGTCATGTAGCTTATCCTCCAGGGGGCAGACTGGAATCAGCTTTGGTGAAGATCTTTGTATTAACCCTTTGAATGACTCTCAGAAATAATAATGGAAGGTCTAAAAGTCTACAAATCCTGATTGGCTAAGAGTTGCATTTTTTTTTTTTTAAACAACCCATGTTAGCAGATCAAACATTGTTAAAACTATGAGGAAAATTGTGCTGAAGTTGTACTTTAAGCAGGATATAAATTATCAAACAGCATAAAGTGTAGTGCAATGAAGACTTCAAAGATAGGCTGACCAGACAGCACGTCTGAAAAATCGGGACAGAGGGTGGGGGGTAATAGGAGCCTATATAAGAAAAAGCCCCAAATATCGGGACTGTCCCCATAAAATCGGGACATCTGGTCACCCTATTCAAAGAACTCCTTGGAAAAATATTTTGCTACATAAGGGCACTTCTTCCTGAGAGAGAACTCCCACTGAAACCAATAAGAGTTTGGCTGAATTAAGAGTGCTGGTTAGGACTTCATATGCTAGAATAAAGAATGCCAAAAGATGCAAATGAGATATCTGAAAGAGAGAGATTAGTAAACAAATTTTTTTATTAGGAGCTAGATAAACTCTCAGAATCAAGAAATTTTTACTTTAGTCCAACAAGTTACTAACTTCTCATTTTTCTTATGCCTCAGTATTGTAATATGTGTGGTATTCTTTGATGGTTCTACTATTCAAAGTGGTGCTGCACACTACTTGTTTCAACAAATTTCACTGAGACTGGAATGACTTACTCTGCAGTTTCATCCTGGAGTCCTGGACAAACTGGTGGCCGAAAGGAAACTGGGACAGCTCGGTTCCCTGGCAGATAAATAGATGGGAGCAAGTCTCTCCTTCCCAGGGAGAGGGTGGTTTTTAGTATCTCTTTCAGAGCCAGGCCTAGCACAGTTCAAGGCTTTTTATGCTGTCTTGTCTGGGCATAAAGGGAGTTCTTCATCAGTGAATTGCAACTTCACATTTCTTGCGAAAACATGATTATTTTGCTGGTTTCACTAGAAGTGTGAGTGGATTATTTGTGCATATTTAAGTTAGGGTTGAAATGCACTGACAAAGCCTTGTTAGGAGAGCCTATTAACCTCAGCTGAAGCCAGTACTGCTATCACTATCTGACATCTGCAGGCAATACAGTCACTCATAAATGTGTCATAAAATAACAATTTCAATTCGTTTTGATTTTTAATGTTTCCACGGTTTTTAAAAATACATTCCCGTGCAAATAGTTGCTTTAACAACAAATATACCTTCCCTTGCGCGTCTGAAACCCAGGTGTTTGTAGCGCTAGGGATGTGAAAGTGTCTGCTCTCCAAACTGAGAGAGATCCAAAAAGTAAATGGAAGATAGTGACATGATTTTTTTTTTAATAATTTTTATTTTGACCTCAGATTTTACTAATAATCTAGATAATGAAATTGACTTGTTTACAATATCTGACTTAAGCTGAAAGTATCCCTTTAATGTTAATCACCAAAACTAAGGCCATGTCTACACTAACACTTATGTTGGCAAAACTTTTTTCTCAGTCCGGAGTGTGAAAAAACCAGCCCCCTGAGTGACATAAGCGCTCCCGTGCACAGCACTATGTCAGCCAGAGATGCTCTTCTGTGGACACAGCTACCGCCGCTCGTTGAGCTGGTTTTATTATGTCAACAGGAGAGCGCTCTCCCGTCGGCATAACGCGTCTACACAAGCGCTCTTACAGTGGCATAGCTGCATGGGTACAGCTGTGCCACTGTAAGCTTGTAAGTGTAGACATGGTTTTAGTGAACGTACCTTCCATAATTTTGGGATGCAGTAATCTTAATGGTCTAGCAGCTGGGATGTATTACTAAATTTTCATTGAACTTGTTAAACAGCTATCAAATGTTAGTGTGTAAAGTTTTCTTACACAATATTTATTGTTTAGAGCACCTTTGTGTAAGAAGTTAATGTAATCTCCATGACAGTTAAATAAACTACCTTGCTCATTCAGTTTTAAGCCACTGATCTAGACTTACAGTATAAAAGATCTTAACAGTTGCATTCTTTGTTTATATCAACATATCTATTTGAATGACTTGTGTATGGTGGTCTAGTGCCAACTGGAGGGAAAGACGAACTCCATCAGAGGGTGTCTGAAAGTTCCAAAGATTACTGTGATCAATATCTAGCATATATGGTCATAAGTGTACTCATTCAACCACCAGTCTTCTGGCAATTAGAGCCTGATCATCTGAAACGCTGAGCACTTTCAAATATCACTGACAAGTCAAAAATGCTCAGCACATCAGAGGCTTCTCAGCACCTGGCAGGATCAGGCCCTGAAGGAGGAGTTGAAAGTAGCCAAGTGCAGTATCTCTAACAAAAGAATGTTGTGTGAAGACTTTTTGCCCAATTGCAGCCTTCAGTTTGTTTACTGACTTTCAGGGTATGCAGTAAGTATATTATGTAGCAAAGCATGTTAACTGTTCTGATCTGGCTCTCAATATCTGGTGGTTTAGAACAGACCTATGTCCTAGCTGTACAGTGTGCTAACACAGGCACCCTTTTATCCACTGCTCCGTACTCATTCAGTTATACTGTGTTTCAAAAAGAACGGAGATCTCAGAATGAAAAGGCACTACCCAGATTAACAATTGACTTCTGGTAATTTCTGTACAGTGAAACCAGGTAAGGCTAGCAAGACAAAACCAGCCTTGGAATAAAAGGTTAAGGATGCTGAACAGGAGTGTTAGCTTTCACAGAAAGAAGCAAGATAGCAGTGTGTAAAAATGAAGCAATCTGAACTTTGGGGGTGGGGCTGAGGGAGTGGACATGAGTGGTTATGGTAAATGAACAAGAGAAAACAAGGAACATAAGCAACAGACAAGTAAAATTGGATCAGCATTTAGGAGAGAGGCAAAAAAATGAAGGGCATGAGCCCAAGTAGTGCCCAGAGCCTTTATTTCTGTTAACTCCATTAGGCACTGGAGGGGCAGAGCATCTTGCAGAATCAAGTCCAAAGTGGTCTTAAAACAAAACAGGAAAAGCTTAAGAAACGATCGAAAAATAATTAATTTTTATTAGAGTATCATCAATGTGCTCAGTTCTGTAAAAACCAGAAAGACCACCTCTTTAAGGGACGGAGGGCTCAATCCTGCAAACATTTGCCCATGTCTGTAACTTTATTCCTGTGACTTCAGTGGGACTACTGGTGTGCATACCGTTACTCATGCTTGAGAGTTTGCAGGATCTAGCCTGGAGTCTTACACTCTGAAATCACTTTGTAGCAACTCATGGAATGGCTGAGGATTAGCGTTCATGTAGGTATGTTTCTGTTTTAGAGAGCACTTTGAGAAAAGTTGCTTTTTGGAGGGTTTAGTTGCACTCTCTCATATATGGGGCATATTTTGCAAAACCACCTGTTGCATCCTCATGGCTTATTGAAGATCAGACAAGAGCCTCCAAAGTGTACAATTGATTTTTTTTTTAAGCCCTTCAAATTTCAGAAATATTTTTAAAGATTGAAAAACATATTTGAGCAGATGTGTAAGAGGTAGCTCACTTCAGAAATTAAAAACCTTAACATAATTTAAAACACTTTAAAGGGACTTCAATTTGAAATATAGTCAGTTTTTAAAAAGGAGGGGGTTGCAGCTTAAAAGTAGTTTAACGAACTTTGCTTGTTCTTGAGTGATCCAGTCATTGGTGTTGGTACAATGACGTTTTCCTACCTTTCTTTAGAACGTCTCTCTACACTGCTGCTGGATGAAAGGCCCACACAAACTGGAAACTGGCTGACAACTGATTAGTCACTCACCGTTTCCACGATGTGCTGAGTGCTGTTCGATGCACAAAGTAAAACTGAAAAAAATAGGAGGAAAAGTTTTACTGTATTTTATTTTACAGGAAACTTTATAGCAGGGGTCTCAAACTCAGTTTATTTATCTTAGGGCCAGTGCCAGTCCTCAAATCCTCCCAGCGGGCCAATAATATCACTGAAGATGGTATTCGGAAAAGAAAATGTTTCTATTGTATTTTTTTATTTTGAATTTCTTAGAACTAATAAAAGTGTCATACAACTTAATAAAATTCTTCGCCTTCTAGAGAGTTTTTAGTGTTTGCCAGACACCTGGCAACGCTTCAGTTCTGTCAGTTTGTTGATGTTTGGCCTCAGTGACTGAGCAGTTGGAACCTTCAGGATTGCAGCAAGGTGTGCATCAGATGTTTATATTCATTGTGGAAAAAAGTGATGCTGCCTCCATGGCTGACTCTGCCTGGCAACTAGTGATGGTATCTCAGTTCCTCTCCCCCAGCCAATGGAGCTTCGAGGGGAGGCACCTGTAGCAGACCGAGCCGGCAGCATGGCTGGCTGCATGCGTCTCCTCTGCGTGCGCAGTGGGTAGGTTCTCAGGCTGCAGATGGCCCGCGAGCCGGGACTTTGAAACCCTTGCTTTATAGTAAAGTTAGGTTTTACTTGAGAGAACAGGAGGTGTGTGAGTTCTAAAAGAATCTCAATTTTGTACCTACAGTGGGTTTTATAAAAAAAGAAAGATGAAAATATCCCTTAGAAGTCTCTCACCTATTGTTCTTTCAGGTAACTGAAGAATTAGAATTAGAAACTTTTTTCAGTTTACTTTGTGCATTTGATAGCACTTTCTGCCTACTCATTTTTGTTGGTCAGTTTCAGTTCCTTTTTTTTCTCATATGCTAGCATGATGACTTCTCACATGCCCTGCTCGGGGCGGTTCAGATGCATGCTCTTCCTTACATCCTTCAAGAGGGTGTTCACGAGTAAAAGCAGCACCAAAAGCTGAGCAGGAATAAGCAGCTGATGGGCATGTACACGGAGAGGAAGGGGACAAAGAGGAGTACTCGGCCCTGACAGGTTTGGTGCTGTGGCTCTCAGGCCCACCCAAAAAACCCTTCCAAACCTTTGAAGGGCAGCAGAAAACCATTACGGAAACAGGATTTTAACTTCAGGAAGTCACTGACATCCCTTTAATGTTACTGTATTGTATTTAATGTAGAATGTGTCTGTTATGTTGAGATGAGGTTGTGGCTCTTTCTCTGCCAGCCCCATTTTCTAGCAACTCTTTAGGAGAATTGTCAGTTGTGTGGCCTAAAACATAGAGATGTGCCCAGATCTGGGCCCAAATTTCACAATGCAGCTCCATCATCACTAAAAATGAACTTACCATACCTTTCTTCCATCCCCAAACCAATTATTTTTCTTGGGGCCTGATGAACCTCCCAGTGAAATCTGCAGAAAGTAACCAATTGATCCCAGTGGGAGCTGGATCACATCCTTAATGAAGGAAAAGTGACTTCCTTCCTTGTGGCTATGCTGGCTCTTCTTGTAGACTTTGCTTAAGCTAGTACTTTGTTAAGAAAACCCAAATCACTAAGTGGAAATTGATCATTTGTATTGGTTTAATTTGCAGGATTTTAAACTCGTTTTTGGCAATCATCGAGGCAAAGCAAGTTCTTACTGGCATGGAAGTACAGCTACCATTGTTCAAAGCCCTGGAGACGGAGTGTGGGGAGTAGTATGGAAAATGAACACTAGCAATTTAAATTCGCTGGATAAGTAGGTGCATTTTAATGTCTTGTGTCACTTTAGAAAGCAAGCCAAATGCAATGGTTATTTTTCAATAATCAATGTGGTGGGTTTGTTTTGGATCAGGGAGAACACATTGGATTCTAAAACACAAATTTGTATCTTAGAGCTTGGCTGTGGACAATGGATTGTGTGATGTGGTCTAGATGAAAGCTGGAGGCATGTAGGTAAGTATAGTGGTCAGTAGGTTTCCGGTATAGGGTGATGTTTATGTGACCATTGCTTAGTAGCACTGTAATGTCTAGGAAGTGGACCTCTTGTGTGGACTGGTCCAGGCTGACGTTGATGGTAGGGTGGAAATCGTTGAAATCTTGGTGGAATTCCTCAAGAGCCTCCTTCCCATGGGTCCAGATGATGAAGATGTCATCAGTGTAGCACAAGTAGAGTAGGAGGCATAAGGGGATGAGAGCTGAGGAAGCATTGTTCTAAGTCAGCCTGACATCAGGAATCATAACATTAAAAAACCGGTAGGAGAACACTTCAGTCTCTCTGGTCACTCAATAACACTCAAAGTGGCAATTCTTCAACAAAAAAACTTCAAAAACAGACTCCAACGTGAAGCTGCAGAACTGGAATTAATTTGCAAACTGGATACCATCAGATTAGGCCTGAATAAAGACTGGGGGTGGTTGAGTCATTACAAAACCTAAACTTAATTTCCCCAATACTAATTTCTCCCTACTGTTATTCACACCTTCTTGTCAACTGTCTGTAATGGGCCACTCTCTTACCACTTCAAAAGTTATTTCTCCTCCCTTGGTATCCTGCTGTTAATTGATTTATCTCGTTAGACTGACTTAACACTTGGTAAAGCACCCCACATCCTATCTTTTACTTCATACATCTCATGAAGTGGGTTCTAGCCCATGAAAGCTTATGCCCAAATAAATTTGTTAGTCTCTAAGGTGCCACAAGGGCTCTTTTTTTTGCTGATACAGACTAACACGGCTACCACTGAAACCTGTGATGATTCAGTTATCCCTCCCAATGTAAACCTGTCCTGCCCCCGTTCAGTGACAACTTAAATAGCTCTGTCACCTATCAAATTGCTTGCCTGCCTGCCTGCATGCTGGAGAGCATTGAGGCAGTACATGGCTAAGAACCTCAGAAAATCATCCCCCTCTTTTGCAGGTGCCTTAATAAGGATTTAGGAGCCTAACTTTAGACACCATTTGGAAACTTTGGCCAGAGCTCTGTACTACTTGTTTTATTACAGCTCTTAGTGGCCTAGTCTATAAAACTGAAATTTCAACTTGCACATTAATGGTGTATAATGAGTCTGAATCTGCAAGGGGCTGAGTGCTCTCAGCTACCACTGACTTCAGCATCTCACAGGATCAGGCCCATTATGAATGCTTTCAGGATTTGAGGAATAAAATTAATGTTACAAAGTTTAGTTTGGAGACATTGGAATTAGATTAAATCTGAGCAGTAAATTACCTTGTATACTTCTCACTGGGGAGAAGTCCTCACTCTTTCTCCTACCCAATTCTTCTCTGCACCTTACTGCTCTCACTAGTGATCATACTGTAAGATCCTGTCTCTTTTGTACAACATCTTAACTTGCCATGCGTTCCTGAAACCTAAAATACTTCACAGAGCTAAAGATCCCATAACTATTTCTGTCTATGAGGGAAGATACTGCCCCTACCAGCACTGTCAGGAAAGAAAGGTTGATTGGTAAATAATTGTAATTTGTATTGTGGAGTTTTAAATCACTTGCTCTTATTTTTTAATCACTTTTAATGCTAGTAAAAGGTACCTGATTGGCAACTCTGGAGACTCAACTGTTCTAACTCAACAGAAAAGTTACAGGATGGGCATTAGCATTGCTGGCTTGCTCCCCCGACAGTTCATGAATAGGTCCTAAAGGTGATCTTCAAAAGGAAAGAAACCGGATTTGTCCTCTTTGCTTCTTTATGATCTATAAAGAAAACCTGATTTAAAAAAAATCTAGTGCTAGTCTTTTCACTAGATATTCAGGTTTTATCTACCCTGTCTTCCTAGTGATCTGGTATAATTATGATGGAGTAACCATGAAGTAAAAAGTGATAGGAAACTATTTTTATCAGATGTTAAAAATTTGCTTTTTGTGTGTGTTAATATAAACTTTTTCCCTTTCTGCACTCCTTGCCCTCTAGAAATAATTTAATTACCAGGATTTCTACCTGTTAAAATACTTATGTTGGTTTTTGTTCCGATAATGTGTCAATGTCCTTTTAAGGACTATGGCCCCAATCCTGCAAAGGCTTACATTATGTCTGCACTATGGACCTTACAGCAGCACAGCTGTACCGCTACAGCTGTGCTGTTGTAAGGTCTCCTGTGTAGCTGCTCTTTGCTGACAGGAGAGAGTTCTCCTGCCAGCATATTTAAACCACCCCCAATGAGCAGCGTTAGCGATGTTGGCAGTAGAGCCTCCCCGGCCGACATAGCACTGTCCACACCAGCACTTTTGTTGGTGAAATGTATGTTGATCAGGGGTGTGTGGGTTTTTTTCCACACCCCTGACCGACAAAAGTTTTGCTGACAAATGTGCTAGTGTAGACAAAGCCTTAAATGTGTAGAGCAGGGATAGGCAACCTTTCAGAAGTGGTGTGCCGAGTCTTCATATATTCACTTTAATTTAAGGTTTCGCGTGCCGGTAATACATGTTAACATTTTTTAGAAGGTCTCTCTCTATAAGTCTATATTATATAACTAAACTATTGTTGTATGTAAAGTAAACAATGTTTTCAAAATGTTTAAGAAGCGTCCTTTAAAATTAAATTAAAATGCTGATCTTACGCCACCAGCCTGCTCAGCCCACTTCCAGCCTGGGGTTCTGTTCACCTAGGCCTGCAGCGGGCTGAGCGGGGCGACTCGAGGTCAGGGCAGAGGGCTGGGG